CCAGCAGGTCGAGGCTGCGGTGGCCGGGAGTGGCCACTGCACTCCAGTCTGGGCGACAGAGTGAGACTCCAACTCAAAAAAAAAAAATCAGGGCACATCGGCTCATGCCTATGATCCCAGCACTTTGGGAGGCAGAGGCAGAAGGATTACTGGAGTCCAGGAGTTCGAGACCAGACTGGGCAGCATAGTGAGACCGCATCTCTAAAAAAAAAAAAGTCTGTATCCCTGGCAATTTCCTTCCTTAAGCAAAATCACCTTCCACCTTAATTATCAGGCAAGAATTATTTTCCAGTCATTGAGAATAAGATGGGACCCAGTTTTGTCCCAATTTATGTATCAGGAGGGAAGGAGATGCTAGGAGAGGTGGGGAATATCAAGGGATAAAAGTGATGATAAGGCTGGGTGCGGTAGCTCATGCCATAATCCCAGCACTTTGGGAGGCTGAGACAAGAAGACTGCTTGAGTCCAAGGATTTGAGATCAGCCTGGGCAACTTGGTGAGACCTTGTCTCTACAATAAATAAAAAAACTCACTAGGCGTGGTGGCGTGTGCCTGTGGTTCCAGCTATTTGGAAGGCTGAGGCAGAAGGATCACCTGAGCCCAGCAGGTCGAGGCTGTGATCCTGCCACTGCACTTCAGCCTGGACAACAAAGTGAGACTCCTACTCAAAAAAAAAAAAAAAAAAAAAGAAGAAGGCGATAGGGAAGCTGAAATGTAAGCATTACAAGCATTCCTTTTATTATGGTTCTGTCTTCTTTTAGCAGAGGATACAGTGTTCAAAGTTGTGCCACAAACCACCTTACCTTTAACATTTCCTAACAGTTATTAAAGAACACAAAATAGTTGAGTAGCCTCTGAGGCTATCACTAGGGCTATTCTTCATGAATTACTTCGAGGATCAGCGCTGTCTAGATTCATCAGACAGACAAGAACAGAGACTAAGATGATGAAGAGCTGGATGTGAGTGGGATGGAGGGATTTAAAAAGGGGTCTCAGTCATTGCCTTGCTAGACTCTAGTGTGGCCATGTGCTCTTGGAGCTATGGTTGTTGCCATGTTTCCTGGCTTTGGCTCCCTCCCCTACCTTGAGGAGGTGATCCCCTCTTTCTCTCTCTCTTTAATTCACTTTTAAATAAAATGTATTTTCTAATCTAAAAGAAAAAAGTCTCAGCATCCTTATCATGTGTCTCGAAGGTGAGCTCAGATAGTCAAGAAACTTACCCAGCTCTTTCCAGAACAAAAGCAGAAACCAACGTGAACATGATACCCAGAAACTAATAGAATAAGTATTATTTAGGCAAAGTCCTGGGTAAGACACATTGGGAGTCTCTATCTAGTAACAGACAGGTGATGAAGAACTGGATGTTAGTGGGATGGAGGACAAACTCTGGGTTTATCCCATTAGTTCAGCTCATGATTCAGGATGTGACTAGCCCAAGGAGATAGCACATAAGGAGGGCAACTGATAAACTTATGTTTTATTTCCCCATTTCAAACCAGAGATCACTAGCTGTGGGCCTTCCAGATACAAATCAAAGTGGGCCACTTCTTGGATCTCAAGCAGTTCTTACTTTATCGCACATTGATGAGTGAAGGGGATGACCTGCCCACAGCAGCCTAAGCGCCTGGACACGGCTGCGCCATTCTCTTCTGATCATTCATTGTTTTAAAGTCAGCCATGCGCCGGGCTCAGTGGCTCAGCCTGTAATCCCGCGCCTTTGGGAGGCTGAGGTGAGTGGACTGCCTGAGCCCGCGGGTTTGAGACCCGCCTGGGCAGGCGAGACCTCATCTCTACAATAAATCAAAAAAAAATAAAAATAAAAAATAAAGTCAGTCATGCAGCGCCCAGTGGGAAAGTCTGTATGACTTGGAGATTTATTCAGCCAAGGTTGGAACTCATGTTCTGAATAGCTCTGGTAGGCTTAGAAGGAGAGTGAGATCTTTCCCTTCAAAGGAAAAGCACCAAAGGTTTCACCCAGACTCCATATTGTACAGAACTTTGTGTTTTCCAGGGGGACAGTTACACAGAACACAGCGTGGGACAACGTTGTGCAAATCAGGTCAGGCAAAGTTCCTTACTGTGAATGAATCATGTAATGGCTTTGATTGGGAAAACATTGACTTTGCCCCTGCTGTCTTCTAGCATTGACCTAGGTGGTGGGACTAAGGTTACAGACAAGACCCAGTGCCCATCTTTAATGTACCAGACTTTATAATGGAAAACAAAGACAAATGCTAGTAGGAGAGGGTTTGAGGAAGCTGCTCTGCCATCCCAGGAAGTCCCAAGGTGGAGATTACCTGGCAGGTCCAAGGTTAGTTGTCTACCAACCCTCTGGGGAAGTCCAGTCAGGCCACTCCAAATACACTACTTACAGGATTGCAGGAGACAACCAGTTCTTATGGGTATTTCTTGAGGTTGCAGTATTGTCTGTGGGCTCTAGATGAAGATCTTACACTGTTAACGTGAGATCTGCATCTCTCATAAATTTGGTGGCATTCTCATTCCTTCTCCAAAGCTTCCTGAATGGGGAGACGCATTCCCTGGGTCACTTTGTCATTAGCTCAAAAAGTCTGAAGAGTCCAAAATCTTCCATTTCCAGCAAGACCATCCTAAAGAAAGACTTGGAAAAGGCAATTATCATTTGGAGCACTCTTTCTTCACCCTCCTCTTGGCCTAATGGGGTAAATTCTGACTGATAAAGACTTTTATTTCATCCTCACATGGGCCCCGTCTCTGTGAGATGCTGTTTCTCCTATGGGCAATGAGCTCTAGGAGATAGTGGGTAGCCACCCCTGGAACAGACAAATCTCTTCATGGAGGTGACATTAGGGCTGAAAGATTTGAGTTGCAGCTCTATTTTCTTAAGGGAATCTATTCATCTCCCTAGTTTGATGGGGCTTGGGATCTCCAGAGAGTTAGTATAACGAGCCTCAGCCTCTTTCCAACTCTCTTGGCTGTTACTTACTACAACTTTGCCAGCAAAAGTTTCAGTTGTTTGTTCAGATCAAGAATAACAGCTACCGTTAGTCAAAGTAATAAATCTGGCTGGGCGTGGTAGCTCGCACCTATAATTCCAGCACTTTGGGAGAAAGGCGAGAGGATTGCCTGAGCCCAGGGACTCAAAACCATCCTGGGCAATTTGGTGAGACCTCGTCTCTATAATAAATCAAAAAATTAGCTGTGTGTGTTGATGCAAGCCTGTGGTCCCAGCTACTTGGAAGAGTGAGGCAGAAGGATCACCTGAGCCCAGCAGGTTGAGGCTGTGGTGACCGTGAGCATGTCACTGCACTCCAGCCTGGGCAACAGAGTGAGACTTCACTCAGAAAGAAAACAAACAACAAACAAAAAAACAAAGTAATAAATCCATTCGTGACTCCAAAATAGGGAACTCCTGTCTAACATGTCAGTCCTCGTTATAGGGATATAAAGACCATCTCAAGTTACATAGAACTTTGACTAGTGCTATCCTGACCCCTACCCCAGTGGGCAGGTAGATGGCAGAAGCTGGGGTCCTGAGGAAAAGGGTAAAATGGAAGGAAATGAAAAAGCTGAAATTAACGTGTCTTTTCTTTGCTTAAAAATGTAAAAGCATTTGACCAAAAAAAAAAAAAAAAAAGAAAAATCTATGCTCAGGCCGGGCATGGTGGCTTAAGCCTGTAATCCCACCACTTTGGGAGGCCAAGGCAAGAGGATTGCCTGAGCTCAGGGGTTCGAGACCAGCCTGGGCAACTTGGTGAGACCTTGTCTTTACAATAAATTTTTAAAAAATTAGCCCAGTGTGGTGGCATGTGCCTGTAGTTTCAGCTACTTGGAAGACTGAGGTGGAAGGATTGCCTGACCCTAACATGTCAAGGCTATGGTGGCCGTGAGCATGCCACTGCACTCCAACCTGAGCTACAGAGTGAGACTC